GGCTGGTTGCGCGAGGTGGGGGACGAGGTGTGTAGGGGGATTTTTTTTAAAAATGTTTTTCAAATATATATTTTTTAAAATAATTTTTTAAAAGATTATAAATGTAACGTGTCAGATAACTATCAAGTTTAACGACCGTTACGACGCAAGCACTTAAAAGTGTAACGAAGAAAACGTTAGACACTAATTTGAGCAAAAAATCCTTTAGGCACATAAACTTAACAAAAAATATAGTTTGGACACTTATTTTTTTCATTAAACCAAATAAATATTATTATTGAATCAAATGGAGTAAAGTAAATACAAAATTAAAATATATAAATGAAATTGTTTACTCGTACATAGACATGAAATTGGATGTGCGAAGATGTTGAAGCTAGTATGAATAGATTTCTTAAGACATATTCATCCTCTCCTTAGTTCTTTGAGTAAAGTTAGACATCAGCCTCTCAGGATACAACAAAAAACGACCACAACAATAAACACAACAACAATGACCAGTCGAACATAATCTTACATTTCTCAATCACTAAAAAAATGATTTTAAAAAGAATTTTCGAAGTCTTTTCCTTTTCCTAAATTGTGTCTCAACTAGTCTTTATATAGTGACGAGGAAATGAATTATAAAGTTACGACCATTTGATGAAAGATTACTATCATTTGATGAAGAGACTTGACCTTTGTTGAAGAGAATTGTTGAAAAACTAATATATATATATATATATATATATATATATATATATATGATTGAAAGAATGTAACTTTAAACCAAAAATTAATAAGTCTATTAATCAATAATCAAGTGATATGATTTAATATAAATAATATATTAAAATTATTCAGTTAATCGATTATTTTTTCAATTATTAGATGAAACTTGATTTCATGGAAGAGTAAGAAACATAATATGATTTCATGGAAGAGTAAGAAACATAATATGATTTCACGATCAAGTTCAGAATGATAAAATTATGACCAAGTTTATGTATGAAATCACGAGTATAATAACTTTTTAATGAAATAGGAAATACAGCTTCAATTCCTACAAAGTTATGGTGTGATAATTAAATTACACTTCACGTCATTCCTAATCAAGTCTTTCGTGGACAAACTAAACACATTAAAGTTGATTATCATTTTATATTTGAAAACATCAACATGGCTAATTATTGTTGATTTTATGAAAACTGAAAAATAAAAAGATATTTTCCGAAAAGCTTTTAGATCCAAATTGATTTATTGTTTGATTATATGAAAACCGGAAATAAAAAGATATTTTAGAAAAGCTCTCAATAGGATCCAAATTGATTATCTATGTAACAAGTTGATCATGATTAATATTTATAATCCAACTTGAGGGAGATTATTATATATCTTTTTTAACAATTTCTACTTAAGGGCGGGGAGGGGAATTTTGCTCCTAATGAGTATTAAATCCACAACCTATTGGAGAGGAGAGGTATCAACTGAGAATTTTTACGCATCTGTTCTAGAAATTATTTACAAGTTGTTACATATTTATAGGCTAAAATGTAAGATATTGTGTTTACCTATCATTTTAAACTTTTCCAAATCAAGAGAAACATAATATTTTCAAAATTAGCATAATCACCAAAATATCATACTCATTCATCAATCTGTTATGAGCCTTAGAGTAGGATATAGTCACGGGTCTAGACATGGAAGAATTTATACTTTGACCTATGGTTAATCAGAGAGGCAGATTCGTCGTTGACAGAACCCCTTCTACAAATAAAATTTTTCTTAATAGAGTAATTGCTTGTCTTCTTTATTCAATATTGGCAGTCTTTAATAGGAAGGAAATAATCCTAACGGAAATAAAATAAAGATCTCTAACATATAGGATCTTGACTAGCAAGACTAAAGTTATAAAAGAAAGATACTAATTTAATAGAGGAAACAAATAAAACTCTAATTTACTGCCCTCTATATATTTATTGCCTTTTTTTCTCTGATATTTCAAATAAGGCATCCACATCACAATCTTGCAAAACCATGTTCCAAAAGTACCAAACAATTCAAATGTACCAAATAGACCATATTACACTGTCCTTTTCATGTTACCCTTATGCCACATCATTTAGGAAGTAAAGATACTTATTGCAATTTCGGTAAGTAAGCCACATATCTCTTAGCTCCTTTAACCTCTAATTACCTACGCATGAAACGCCACATGGCAAGCTTACAAAAATTTAATTTGCGCTCAAGGGAAAAACATACAAATAATAAGCTACAAACAACTCATAAGTGCATTGTTCATGTTAAGCCACTTCAACCATCATGCAAGCCGGACCATTTACCATATGGATGAATCAACACCTATGGTCTATGTTACAAAATATGTTCATTTATCCTATCATATATATTCTACCATATTTATTTCATATTGCTTTTAGTTAAAACCATCATGTAAGCATACTTATACAGAAATAATCTTCAAATAGCCCAAGTAAAATTTATGGACTTAAGAGGATACATAGATTTCTTACCTGCCCTTGTGCTTGTATAAGTCAAGGCTTGGTTTCTTGTTTGAATCTAAGCTCTAGTTTATGTATGTTCATGTGCCAAATAACTCCAAATAGTGTAGCTAAGCTAACACCTCCTAACACCATATATGAATCATGCATCATGAAACTCCTAGAAGACTTGGTCAACCTATGATCTAATACATATATGAGAAAATCTTATGACATACCAACTATATCCAACGATTACATATGCACTAACGTATTCGTGTGTTGATGTTTAACCAAGTTCATCACCTATCATGTTCATGTGTCGTACTCCAACTATTACATGTGAATTTGTCACACATCATATCATCATCATCATCTACTCAAACAACACACCAGAACTAACAACCATGTGCATTTACCTTCTTATCAAGCCAATTGTACATCAACCATTATTCGCTTTTAAAACATTATAAAATGGAGCTTATATGCCCTCCCAACCAAAAGCAAAGAGACAACCACTCTTTCGTTTTTCTTATCGAGAACTAATGGACTTTAGCTTTCCCTTTGTCTTTTGACTTCGATATTCCAACTTTCTCTGTTTCTTCAATCACAATTAAGAATCACTCAGTAGACCTCATTTAAACAGCAAACAAATGTTAAACAAATGCTTAAAACACCTACACACAGTGACATTCTCTTACCAACTCTTCTATGTCTATTTTGATGAAAACCTAACTAAACTCATTTCTCTGATTTGATTTACTAATTAATCACATCTAAATAACTTTAAGAGTGTTTGTAACCCAAGGTTAAATCCTAATCTCAGATTTTACTATAACAAAGAAACTTTATTTTCTTTATAAAATCCCTTTCGTTTTCTACAGATCTGATTAGTATGAGTGGATTTAATGTTTTAATCCTCTTTTTCACATTAAGAACTCACTAAAAATATTTTAAAATCAACAAAAACCTGTTGAAACAAAAAAAATCGCCATTAAAAGTCAAGTTTTTTTAAGAAAATCTTAAATGAAAAACATGAGGTCTCAATTTAAAGATTAAAAATAAATTTTAAAACTTAAGATGGATTAAATATCAAATCAAAAGAACACAATTACTTGGAATTGAGTTTTAAAAATCAAATTTAGGAGGATATCTTCAAAAACAAGAATTTAAAAAGTTGAAAAAAAGGAATAAAATGGTAGAAATTGAGACATATTGAAGAGGTTCCAAGGTGTGGGTGATTTTATGATGATTTTGGGCGTTTAAGAGAAAATTAAGAGAAATTGACAGAACTATCAGATATAGAGAAAATGGAAATGAAAAAGTAACAACTCCAATTGTTTTTGGTCCAAAAATTCACTTGTTTTAAAAACTGATTTAATTGTTCCGTAAAGATACCCCTTTTGCCTACTTTATAATTTAGTCCATGCTCACAATTAAAACTAATTTTGCAATTTCTTTTCAATTTAATCCCTACTTTAAAGTCTGATTTTTATCCTAACTAATCCGAAAACATTTTCCAAGTATTTCTTACCCTTATTACCTTTCCTTTTTCGGTAATGATTATTTTCAAAGTTAATAATCGACTAATCTACGATAATCCTTTCGGTACTTTATCAGAATTTCATACTTTCAACAACTAACCTCGATTCTGGGATGTGACACCTACCGTCTTCATTGACATGTTGCTAGAACCCAAAGCCAGCTTTGATGCTAAATATCACAGTCAACAATAACTTACAAATTAAAGTACTGTCAGCTTCTTGATTCGTCCCGTTGTGTCCTATGCTTTAAGAGTGTGTTTGATTCACGAAATGTAAGATTATCAGTAAGAATAAAAGATTACCAAAGTATAAGATTACTGAGAATGTTACATTACTGTGTTTGGTTGGTTTGGTAGGAATGTAAGATTACAGTGTTTGGTTGAAGGAATAAAAGATTACTGAAATGTATATTTTACTAAATTGTCATTGTTCTATATTTTTAACAAGTGAAATTCTAAATATTTAAATAAAAATTATTTATATAAAAATTTTATTTGTTGATAATATATTACTTAAGTATTTAAATATATCATATATTATTTTAATTTTAATTAATATTAAATTTTAAATAATTTATGTAAAAATATATTAAAATTTTACATCAACATTTAACTAAGATATTCATAATAATAAAAAGATGTAAATAAAAATGTTTATAATTTAAGATATTTTAATTAATATTAAATTTTACATAATTTATGTAAAAAATATTTATATTGTGAAAATTCTTCATAGATATTCATAATAATAAAAATATGTAAATTACTTTTGTTATCTAAGATATAATATTTATTATATATTCTATATACAATAATTTATTTATTTATTTATCTTTTATATTTATACTTAATTCTGCATACTTTATCATTATTATTTATCTCATGAATTTATATTACAAAAACATAATTCAAATAAGTAAAAAAATATAACACTAAAAATTATATTGTCTATAATTTTATATTTTAAGACAAATTCTCGAAAATTATGCTCTTTGGCCTTGAAGGGTATGCAGACTCAACTTGTTTGAATTCAACCTGTCCTACGATATTATCCAAAACTTCCCCTTCCATATTGTATAAATCAATCTTCGGGACTCTTTTTACCACTTCGGTTATACATTCTGCAGTCGAACATGCTTCGAACAAGGGCTTCAGCCTTCAAGTTAGATAAACAAGCACCAAGTTATCTTTCAAGGAAAATGAAGCGAAAATAACATAAAAATTGAATGAATTCTCTTTGAAAGTGCCTGCAGTAATACATATGTTTAAGAATCCGAGAGTTCCCGAAACGAACAACAGATGTTTTGCAAATTTGCAATGAAAACCTTGTACAACCAACACTCACTCTTTCGAGATTTTGAGTGAGATCAATAAAGGTAACCAAATAGTAACATACATGGTTCACATTGCATATGTTAGAATACAAAGTATGGACATACATTAGAAAAACAATGCAGATACTTGTTGCAAAATCCAGTTCTATACGTGGATCAAATGAAACGAACCATCACTAAGTTATCATCGATTTCCCGAAATTTGGTACACACTTTAGAAAATACAAATGGTGTAACTTCCTACAGTAAGGGACATAATCTTACTAAAAGATTATGTTACCATCCAACTCCCATGAATTAGTGCCTTATATAGCCTGTAATGGACCAATAAGACTCTTTCAGCAAGTGAATTGGCATACTGAGTAACTGTCAAATTCAAGCAAACCGAAGGAAAGAAACAACATTACCAAGTACCTGGTAACCACAGTTTAACAGCATTTAGAACGGCTCAACCCCATTCGAATACCAAAACAATGAACTACCTCTTTCAAAATTTACTCAAGTTCTGATTTAGATTTTGCTAGCTAGAGTTTGGAAAACAACATCAATAGACATCTTGTAGTACTAAATCTAAACTAAAAGTACTTAAAAAGGGATAGAGGAAATAAGAATTGACGAGGTTTACTACTACCGATAAATCACCATTTTAGTTGAAGGCATATAACTAAATTGGAAACGCACGGGACCTCTTCAATGGGAAAAAAACATATTAAATATGCTTTGACTAGTTTCCAACCTACAGACTAGTAAAATATTTACCTGCAAACATATGGTGTCACAAAAGGCAGTAGATCCACAGTTGCCATCATCTCCTTTCTTCACTAGTCTCGGAATAAGATTTCTGAAGTACATTTCCCACACTTGGTTATTTATGTTTATTGAATCAGCAATGGGATGTAGTACCTGTTTGATTGACAGAAAACGGCTCCAATGTGAAGTTAAAACTTAAAAACTTATTCCCCACAGTAAGAAAAAAATCCGAATGTCCACAAATTTACAAATATTATGAAGAGTGGCAGATAAAGATCATGCGCAGAGGATTAAATTTTTGGAATAGACTGCCGCACAGGATAATAAAATATCAAAAAAGCAATCCTCTCCATAACAATTCAAGTGTTATATTATCGTGATGATAAGAAAACGGAATCAAACTGAATCATCACTCACAGATAAGAAAAAGCAATCATTCACTGAATCATCACTCAAAAAAGAACAGATTACTTGGAAATTTCAATTCTATAACTGTTATTTAAAGCCCAAAAATCAAATCAAAACAAAAAATTAAAAAAAACATGGAAGAAGAAAAAAAAGAGAAAAACGAATTCAGAATTCGAACCCCAACATCTGTAATCTATTAGTACAAAAGAGAAAAAATGTTCGATCCGTATTATAATTGAATGCCTAAAAGATTCAAGGAAAATTCCACATATAGATAAAGAGCTTGAACATAAAACTGAAAAGAATGACAAAATTGTTCCATACCCAATGTGTTGCTATTGAATCAGCTGCTCTTGGTCGCCATGGCTTTGCAAATCCCATCAATCCCTTTGCAAGTCAAGAGAGTGAAGTAAACGGTGAAAAAGAACATGTATTGGGAGTGGCTCGAAGGCCAACTGTGAGAATCACACATTTCTAAAAGAACACATGTTTCGGGCCGAGCTTGTTGAACGGATTTTTTGATGAGTTCGTTGATGAACTGAGATTTTACTAGGCCTAGTGCAAAGAACATTACTTGAAGCTCTCTGTGGAAAATGAAATGAGAAACGAAGCCACCGAGGGAAATGAAAACGGGAACCAAAGAAACCCAGACTAGGAAATGAAAACGGGAACCAAAGCAGTAATGGACAGCTCAATCGAAGAAGAAGAAGATTTTGTTTTGCAAGCGGGGAGAAGGGTATTTCAGAGAAAGGGGACGGGAATAAACAAATACCTAAGGGAGACGGGGATTAACATTCCCAGTAAAACAGGAAAAAGATACCACTGTTGGTAATCAGTTTTTACCCTCATTTGGGAATGTGGCCATCCAAACGTGGGTATCTTTAACCCGGAAAAAAAGATTACTCCCAGGAATGAAATATTCCATGAACCAAACGGGGCCTAAAGGTACAGTGAAACACTTATATATCAATACCAACTCTAACACATAGCTGATATGGAATCCATGACTCCTCTCTAGGATCATAATACAAACAATACTCACGTTTTAGCCAACAACATTACTAAAAGGAAAAAAAAATTCCATGGTTGAAGAAAGTTTACATCCATCTATTGCTATTTTAAAGCATGAGTACAATGTAGAAAAACTTCAGATTTAAGCTGAAAGTGAAACATTAGCAATCTATAAAGATTATGCATGACAAAATTGGAAAATTCCCAAGGGATATGTTAACCAAGCTAAGTGCAAAGCATTAAAATACATGTATTTCAACTGCATGTGTGAAACTGTAGCATACGAACGTAAATTTATAATCCCAAAAGAAAAAAACAATAAATAACCCACCACAGAAAATGCAGCAACAGATACACTATCATGAAAGCATGTAGTTTGCCTTTTAACATACATTGCAGCTTCTCTTACAATAGCCAGGAAGCTCTGCAGTTCCGATCATATATTCTCGGTTCTTGGTACACTCGCCAAGAGCAGCCCATCTCTCACAACTCTCGTTCAAATCCGTGCAGTTGCCACCAACATCCAAATTCTTGCTAAATGAATCAGCATGAATCCATTTTGTTGCGGACCATTTATCACCTTCAATCACTGGGCAACCAGCATGGGGACTGCCTGGGCAACCACCTTTGGTCACATTTGTAAGATACATCAATACAGCTGCAATGCGGTGTCCGCCTCTAGCAATATTCACCTTGTCAGAAAAGTAATCATAGTGAGGATCGTATTTTCTGCCCAAACTCATATCTCAACACCTGTATGTCTTCCCCATTTTCTGTAAATGAGAAAAACTGAATTCATGTTATTATGTGCTTCCTTAATTTAACTACAATTGCTGTTTTTTATTCTTCCAACCCTCAAATAATTATGTATTTAATTTATATTAATGTATACACAGGAGATTTAACAGCCAAAGAGTAGCATGAAGCTCTAGGATGATAACATTGATTTCGATATTGGTATACTGACAGGTTATGAAACATAAAAATCAAATTCCAATAGCATAAATTAGCAATCCAGATATATAGTTCCCAAACAAGTAGAAATGTGCAGAAGTAACTCCTTTTATCTTAATGTATGACATTTAACATCATGCCTTCATCCCACTTCATACTTACTAGTTAAGTAACTTATCTTTAGATAAGGAAGGTTACATGCATTCAAATTAATGGGTGCAATCACAGTAACATAATCAAACCAAATTACTTGTTTAATTGCAACCTTAAACCTTGACTACTTTTAACATATATGTCAAAATCCCATGACCTATCATTGTGGTTTGCAAGAAATACTGACATCTAATGTCACGACGAACAAAGTAACATGGTCTTGGTAGACCCCTCAATTAAAATATAATAAAAGGTTACGATCAAGAGAGAGAAGCTTGGCCAAAGTCTTCTTGTGCATTTGGTATAAGAACCTTTTGGAAGAAATGTCCATGTCGAAATCTTGTCCTCTATACCAGAAACAATAGGATCCTACAAAAGAAAAAGGAAGAAGAAAATGTAAAGACCATCAGTAGGTTCAAATATCCAATAATCAAATGCAAAACCATTGCAATGTTACAGGTGCATCTTGGTTGGGGAGTGGACTGACTATACTATTAAGTATTATCAGATCAAACTCTTTGGACCATTATTAATATATTTTTCTCATCAAGATATACCCTAGTTTCCTGGACTCTAAAATGAATGTGGAATGTATATTCTCAACCTTTTTCCAAGTTTTTACATACATCGGACAATCATAAATCATCCCAATGCCCTATATATGCTGAACAGGCGAGCACAAGTGTAAGACACATATTTAAGAGAAAATGAAGAGTTCGGGTAACATAGGATAATATACCATAAAAGCCAAGCCTATATATAACAACCCTAAAGCATAAAATTATCCATGGCATTATAACATGTAGTACAGCTTAAAGCTTTCAAGGCCAACAACTTAGACTTCAATAATTGGGGAAAATAAGATCGAGAAAAAAACAACAACTATAACCTACGAGAGTGGGATAAAGAGCGAACCTTTTCCTTAGGAATAAACATCCTGAGCTCGTCCGGACTTCGGTAAGCCTGCTTTTTCCACTAACATTATCAGCAACCGCAGATCTCTTTAGCTCTGATTTTGCCTATAGTTCAAAAAAAGGAAAAAATAACTAACATTAAATGAATTCAAATTTTGAAAAATAATGATGAAAAGTCGGAAATGAATTTACTAGAGAGATCAAATGATCGCATTCCAGGTCCGTCAAGAAGCCTTCAAAGACAAAAGCCCTGCAAAAGAAGAGAAATCAAAAAGAAAATCAAACTTTTAGTAAATACTTGGTCCAATTCAAAAGAGATCAAGAGAGAGAAAGTGACCTAGGTTTCCAGGAAACTTGTTTAACTTTAGAAGGATTGATAATGGAGCTTTGAGGGGTTAAGAAGGAATCACATGATTGGTACAAGATTGAAGCGATTAAGAACAGTATCAGGAATTGCAGAGGATAATTCCTTGCAGAAGCCATTAACTGTTGAACCTTGGATCGAAAGGTAAGGAGAAAGAAAGATATTTTCCGGGAAAGAACTCACAAATTTTTCTTGGGAAAGAAAGAAAAATGATGGAAGTTGCTGATCCGAGTCTGACCGAGTTACCCGTTACTGTAATATGGTGTAATAAGCAGGGAGCTACCCTGATTATGCTCCACCTGATTATTTTACATCTTTGGAACTAAACGGTGTCGTTGCGAAAACTTGCTATAATCTAGAGTATATTGCTAGTACGAGTAAAGTACACAAATAATATCCGATTATTAGATATTACTTTATTAAATACCTTAATTATTAAAAAAATTATAAAATGATACCCGACTATAAGAAGATGTTTTATTGAGTCTTCGACTATTAAAAATATAAAATGATAATCTGATTATTTATATATTTCAAAATTATCATTTTCTATTAAAAAATTGATGTTCATCTGAGATGAATATTTATCTGTTGACTGAAATATATATTAATATAACATAAATTGTCTGTGTCAAATTCATAAACATGTGTTTATATTATTATATTACATTTTCAGAAGGAACCTTTTCCCTTCTTCCAAACTTCGTTAATTTCATGGAAAATAGAACTTGAGCTACAAGAAATTTACAAAAGCATTATTGTAGAAGAATCAGAATTCAAGATAAAAAAAAAAACTATGAAACATGGTCAATCTGACTATTTCAATCATTCAAACACTTGGTTGAGTTATATTCTTCTGCATCAAAGATCTCTTCGGAGTACGTCCTCCGATGAGTGGAGCATTCTTTCAGCGTCTCGAGGCAGCTAAGATCACCTTTAAGAATGGCTAAAGCCTGCAGTGAAATGCAACAGTTGAATCATTCCATATTAGAACATTGTTCTTCCGGTTCCTAAATTACATTCATAAAAGATCTGAAGTTGTACTCTGGATTGCAAGTAACTTGTGATGAAAAAGGACATGCCTGGCTCATTTGGGGTCGATCTATCGCCGACTGATTTATACACATCGAACCTGTTGTGATGCAATTTTTTAATTGGTCCATGTCGTAGTCATTCCCAAGCAATGGATCGACCAGCTCATTGATTTTATTTTCTGCTATCAATGGTTTTGTCTGCAAGTTGAACAATTGGATTACTCAAGAAGTGGGTATTGATACGAGTTTTAATTCACTTTTCGGTATGCCAAACCCACCCAAATAACAAGACTCCGGTGTGAACTATCGACGGCTTGCCTCCCTGTGATGAGCTCAAACAGCAATACACCGAAAGCATAGACATCCGTTTTTTCATCGACTATGCCGTGCATGAAACACTCGGGAGGAAGGTAACTGCAATGACATGAATTCGGATTATTCACATACAATGAAAGAACTTTTAGATTTACAGAAACCAAGTGAAGTTTTAAACTATGGACCCGAATGTGCCTTCGACTTTAGAGACGGTATGATGGGTCCATTGATCAGGTAACCACTTTGAAAGGCCAAAATCTGAAATCTGAAATCCAACCATAAGCAAAGGAACATCTTAAGCAAGAACTTTTATCTGCAATTCTACAAAATTTCGAGCTTGAGTTCAAGTTTTACCTGAGCATCAAAATTCTCTGAAAGCAGTATGTTTGCCGCCTTGATATCTTTATGGATAATTCTCCGTTGGCAGCCTTCGTGAAGATAGGCAAGGCCTTCAGCAGTCCCTATGGCGATCTTAAATCTGAGACTCCAATTCAGTTGCTCCCTAGGGCCTGTATATGAACCGCAACAAATTGAACTGCTAAAATTTTGTATATCAACTTGTGAAGAAATCAAACTTAATAGGCTTTGCGGAAAACAAACCGTATAGTATCGATGCCAGGCTTCCATAGGGGGACAATTGAAAAACAAGGAACATTCCCCCTTCAACACCATAGCCGATCATTTTAGCAATGTTGGGATGGTCAACATGAACTATAATTCCAAGCTCAGACAAGAAATCAATTGTCATCTCTTCCAGTGAACCTTTCATAAGCCGCTTAATCGCAACATACTTTCCGGTTGTCAATCGCCCTTTGTAAACTTCTGCATACCCCCCTTTTCCTATCAAATTGCCTTCTCAAAAACAATGGCAACATGAATTTTTGTCAGCCTAGCAGGCCATTAAGAGAATGTCATAGGAACATTATTTTTTTTTCCAAATGGAAATTCGATATTATAATCAGATCAAAACTTTTTTTCAAAAAAAATAATGATCAAGTAGGAGGAAATATACCAGGGTTGAACTTATTGGTTGCTTCCTCAAGCTCCGAGAGCGAAAAGTTCTTCCAGGAAGATTTAAAACAGCTTAGTTCTGCATCCAAAGTCGAATCTAGTGGTTGAACCGTGTCGTCTCCACCTTTTTTGCCCTTTTTTATAGCGCCCTTAGCCATTAGAGGAGGCAAGACTTGAGAAGGGATTCCGGGTCCTTTTTTCAGTAAACGAAAGAAGCCACGCAATTGAACAAGACTAGCCAAACTCGATTGGCTTTCAGACTCTGATGTCTCAGATTCTGCAGGTTCTTCTGATGCATCAGTTCTAGGTTCTATTGATTCCGCATTACTTGTTGAGCAATCCTGAGACTCGGCGTTCAGAGATGCTGCATCAATTGTCTTCACTTCGGCTTGTAAAGAATCCAAGTCTAACATTATATAGGATCTAATATTAGAATAATTATTGAAGTCTCTCAACCATATCAACTCTGAAGAACACAGATATGGATGATTGAATACCAAGAGTTGAAACTGAGTCGGAGAAACCGCTTCGATGAAAATTCCTCATAAAACGAAGAGGCTCCCATTTCTTCTTGTCAGTAGTTTTATTGGAACTTTTTCCTTCAATGGCTTGTTCACCACTACAAGAGGCGAAAAACCGATGAAATTATCAAAGATATAGAGAGGGGGAAAAGGCAGTATGAAACAATATTGAAAGAAATAAACAAAAAGCAGCATGGCAATGAGTATAAACTGTGACAACAAATTATCAGTTAAGAATGCTTCGGAGATGAACATAGATTATGGAAATATAAATCTAAGATGAAGATAGATCCTTCCAAAAACATGGAAAAACTGTTTTAGAAAATGAACATATCAATGTTGAATGCATATGCATATCCGAGTCTGAGTAAGACAAATTCGTCGTCTCCTAGTCCTTTGCAGTAAATGTTTTCAAGATGGCATAATTAGCAACATACGAGTTTCTCCTAGTCCCTTTTAAGCATTGTGATTGTGAAGAACAAATCCAATGCAGCCAAGATACATATATATATACACGCACACATTGTATGTAATAGAGATTTGAAATCAACAAGGCATAAACAGATGAATCTTACAAATTCATTGGAAACATAAGAGCCTCAAGGCCAGAAATTCAAAAGATCATTAAAAAATTTATAAAAAAGTAAAAACCCAATGCTGAAAAAAAAAAAAAACACAAACACAAACACATGGAAAGCAAACAGAACAAGAAACTAACAGGATGCATATACAAAGTACCTTGTATTATCAGAAGCTTCCATTGCATCCTCCATGGCTTTTCAAAGATGATCAAACCAGGGAGACCTGTGAAGCCAAAAGAATATGCAAATTTTGACAAAGATAGAGAGAGGGAAAGAGAGAATGATGAGAAAAATAAGAAATGGAGTAGAGGGTTGCCATTATTCTCTGAGCTTTCTCTAATATCCATATAAATTTTGTTTTTTGACAGATAATCTCCTTGTGCCTAAAAGTAGGCTTTCTCCCATTTCTTCTTTCATAACCCATCCCTTTTTTTAGCAGAAATTTATTTTTAAAATAATAAAGTAAGTGAAAAGGAGAATAGATTTGACCCTATGATTAGCAAATCTTAAGGAATGTTTAAGGCTTGTAAGAAAGCACGTCTGGGACTCTCTTCCAAGAACAAGTTTGGGTCTTTGACACATGGGAGAAACCACCATGTTTGTTTATGTTTTTCCACTTTCTGCTTCTTTAAGCTTTTGTTCTCGTAAACTTTGAATTTTCTCACGAGAAATACTCATCTTACTCTTGTTTACTTCTTTGCTTCTTATCCATACAATGTACAACACTTATAGTGATACAATTCTTACTGCCAAACTCACAAGAAATTATGATCCTTAATAGGGAAATGCAAAGACATTTTCTTCGTTAGTCTCCTTAAAAAATATATTTAAAAAATTATTAATTTAGTTTCTATAAGGATATGTATATTATTTTAAATTTAAAAATCACTTAAATATTATTTATTAAAAAGTTAATATTCATTTTTATTATTTTGCTTTTAAATGAATGAAAATTTATTTTTCTTTGTTATTTTTATTTTAAAATAACAAAAAAAATCTTTTTATTTTTTTATTTTGTTGTTCTGTTTATCGTCTTTTAGCTATTCATCTTCTTTAAGTTAAAGATTTCAATCAAATTGTATTTTATTTTATTTGAAGATAATTTTTTAAAAAATATTTTTTATTTGATTTATATTTATGGTTTATTTTAAATATTTATATGTTTTATGTAGGTTCATAAATCTTCATCTCTAAAAATAAAAATTTAGTCACACGCATATATATGAAATTATTTTAAAATACCTCTAAATATCTTGATTATATATAAATATAAATTTTAAAATATATTGATTAAATTTGTATATTATTGAATCTATTATAAAATTAAATTGATATATTTTTATAGTTATGTAATCATCCATTTTATCCTGGTGGTGACACGTGACATTTCATATTTTATAATATATAGTATATGATATATAGTTTGTACATAGATTATAGTTTAGATATTAAATGCATTATATCATATAGTGTCATTTTTACAAGGTAGTTGCATATTATATTATTAAATAATTGCATTGCATTTCATATTGCATTTCATGTTGCATTTTATGATCCATTGCATGTTAAATAGTTAAATAATTAGTGTGTGTTACATTGCATATTATATGGTTTGTATATACTATATAGTTTATAAATAATAGTTGCATGTTAGATTAGTCATATTAGTATAATCCATTTATTTTGCTAAATAAATAATGAGAAAACCCAAAAATAAAGGTCCATTTGTATTAGTATAGTCCATTTGCATTAGGCCCACCTCATTTTTTTGTTACAAAATATATGCATTAATAATAAATAAATAATAAAAAAACAAAAAAGGACCGTAAAACAAATCCTAGCTATTGATGAGCCTTGATCCAAGGCTAGGGATGGATGGATCCAAGTGAAATAAGCACAAACCCATCTAAGCCATTGGAATAAAAAAATGGATCCAATAACCAAGAAGTTGTCTTCTCCAAAGCATCACCAACGTCCACTGACTGGAGGGGAGCTCGCCGGTGCGTTCACACGTGCCGGTTCGGTCATCTTCTTCGTTGAGCCGCCACCGTTTTCCATCGCGCCTGCCGTCGCCGATCCATTTCGAAGCATGCAAAAAATCAGAAAAAATTAGGAACAATAATAAGCTTCTAGATATAAGGTGGTTGTAACCGTTTCTTAACAGTTTTGAGCTGGAAATGTAGATCTGGGAGCTAAATCAATATAAATAGCTTCTCATTTCATTAACACAAACACACCATGATTTAGAAAAGCTTAAGCATTTCGAAAGCAAAGCAAAGCACTAGAAGAGGAAAGCTTTTACCTTCGCTGGAGGGAAACACACTTTTGGGTGAGTCTCCTTTTTCTTTGTTTTTGGTTAGAATAGATCTTGGTTTGGGTGAATTTCGGTTCGACCACTGTCGGCCGGTGATGGGTATTTGGCCAGAGGGAGGTCTCTGTCGTCTGGGTTTGATAGAAGTTTTGGTGTTTGGATGGTGGTTGTAGGTTTGGGGTTTAAAAGAAGTTGGGTTTGATGTTTGAATGTTCTTGGATGTTCTTGGTGATTTAAGGGAAAGTTGGGGTTTTGATCTTTAATAACAAGTGTTGGTATTTTTTTGGGTGTTGTTGGTGGATTAAAATTTGTTTTTTGGGATGAACACTTAATATTTCTTGAGAAATATGAGTGTTTGATGCGAAAAACAAGTTTTGATTTGGTTTTGGTGTTCGTTTTGAATCTAATCTTGTTTTTGGCTTGAATATGTGAAGAACATGAAGAGCAATGGATGAACAAGTTGAATCTAGGTGGTTTTCGATTGTCTAGGGGGAGAGAATTTGGGAGAGTGAAAATTTTTGGAGGTGTAAAAATTAGGCTTGCTTCTAAAATTTTGGGGTCTTATAGTGTAAATCTTTTGGGGTTATTCATTTCATTAAATCACTCTACATTCAACGTGTTTTGCTTTTGGCTCGTGGCTTTTCATTTATTTTATTTTAGACACCAATTATTTGTAATTTGTACTAAGAATTTTAATTGAATGCAATTTAGTTATTAATTCCTTTTCAATTGCCTTGTATCTTTTATTTAATGTGTTTAATTGTTAATAATAATTGTTAATTTGTGAATCTTTTAAAATGGTCACTTGTTTAATTATTAAATAAACCATTTATATTTTTTGATCTTTTAATTTGGTTAGTAATATTAATTAGTCCTTTGGTTTTTTAATTAAGCCTTAGGTTTTAGGCTCTTTAGTTTTTAATTAAAGCCTTAGTTTAGGTTCCTTAATTAGAAATCAATAAGCTTAGTAATGCCTCTTAGGTTTAGTTTCTTTAATAGTATTAATTAGAAACACATGAGCATAAATCCATAATTAATTATAAAGGATAATCTTTTTTCCTAAATATTGAAAGGGGTGGTCTTAAAATAACTAGACATTCATGTTCAATATTTTTCGAATAAATAAATGTTCTATCAAGTGGTCACCGTAAAAATCGAATAGATTCACTAATTTCAAATAAAAGGGTAGATGTTTGTTCCTACATTTAAATTGCTAAGGACAAGTTGTTTGATTAACGTCAAAGGCTTGGCCTTCGTTCTTTAAATCAAGGAATATCCTTAGTCTTTTAATAATAATTGGACTAACTTATCACATTAATTTTCTATTTTAGGGTTTAATAATTGATTAATTCTTTAAAATTTTAGGATGACCATATTTCATTATTTTGATTAAAATATAAGAAATAAATGCCTTAATTCAAATTAGGGGATTAGTTTCTTCTTTAATTGGAAATAACAAATATTGTGCGTTTCTTTAATATTTTTAGAATAATTTAGTGAATAAAAGGATCATTAATTAAATAAATATTTGAATTTCTTAATTTTTTATATATAGACAAATTTATAATTGGAGGTACCAATTTTGGGCGATGTGGAGGTGATAATCCTTCCCCAAGCGTTATCGACTCTTGAACCTATAAACCCTGAATCACAGACCAAATTATGTTTTTTTTAAAAATTTATTTAAAAAGGGCGTATCCTGGGTTTTCAACCTACCTAATCCCAATTGTTGATGGTGACTCCAAGCTTTTCAAAACTTTTCTTATTTCCCATTTTTAAAATTTATTCCGATTTTCGCCACTTCAAAAAAGGTCATCGCGACATCTTGGCGACTCCGCTGGGGACCAAACCAAAGCCTTGGTTTTCTCAGAGAGTCAGGCCCTAAAATAATTATACTTTGTCCATGTATTACAAAATTAGGACTTACAGGTTTATTTCATTCCTAATTCTTTTTTCCTATAATTTTTCTTCTTTTTAGATTCTTCCTTTTAATTTTCTTTAAAATTTATATTTAACCAGTTGTACTAATGTGTGACTTGAGTGACTTTTTCAGATATTAGATTATTTCCAAGACCATTTATTTTATCTGGTTCTTTTCTCTACACATTTAATTAAAGGTTTGAGTATTTCTCCTCACACATAACACGTCCACATTCATGAACTTCGCTCTATACCCGAGCTGTCTTTTTTAAGTGAGAGTGAAAGCGGCGTCTTTGTGAGAATTTATTATCTGTATAGACCTAGCGAGTAACTTTTGGGGTCCAAAGTACCTATGTCTTCGTAGGAATTTTTTCTTTATGTCAGGCATAGGGAAATGCTCCCTCTCGAAATTTAACTTGATCCATAAGCCTGTAATGAGTGAGGATCGAGGGTCTGACTCGCCCAAGGGGCATCAACAAGGATAATTTCTAGTACCTTATCATTTTAGAGTCGAAACCATTCATTTAATTTACCTTAGATCCACCCGATGCGAAACTCTACCGAAATTTCACCATAGGTACCCGGATAAGTACACAAGGGATAAATCAACTCTAAAACTTTATTTTTATGTCATTGCATGTGAATTAGAAAATCATCTGGACTATGTTTTATTATATTATGAATTTAATAATTATTATGATGATATTAATCGATGTTCTTTGTTTTTTGTATATTTTCCTTTCATTTTCTTTGCATTTATTGCATCATTCATAGACATAGGTATTGAATCTTTAGTCAGCTATGGAAATAGAATGCTTGTTATAGATGAAAACAAAAACATTCATCATATGGTTCCCAATGTAGAAGTACGCCCGTGTATGAGGCTCTACAAAAAGAGAAAGGGGACAGTTTGGGGCTAATCACGCATCCAGCTTAGACGAGTTTGCGTCAATTTCTTTAAGAGAAATGAAGTGTCTGATTTGCAACATTTGAGTCAGAGCCTTCAGCAGAGAATTGCTTTGTGTTGTCAGTTTCAGAGCCTCGATGAAGAATTGCAATATTGCTAAGAGCAAGTATCCGATTTAGAGCATGTTGTTAGTGATGCCCAGGATGAGCAAAAAGAGGTGGTCGAAGCCTACGAGGATCAAAATGATGCTTGGGAGCATGTCATTAATTCAGATGAGCGAGATCGCTTGATACTTGGGAGAGTTAGCTGCTCGAGCTAAAATAGTGGGGCATTACTTTGACCCGGTTTCAGAGAGAAGCAAGAGATTATTATCCTTGATAGTCGAGGTTATAGAGTTAAGTAGA